ATATAGTTATTTGGTGTGACTTCTATCATAGTTATAAAAAATATATTCATGGATAAATTTCCATTATAGTTGTTGAAGAAGATAATACTGTTTGTTTCATAATACTTAATGTTTTACCCTTTTTCGATTAACCTTTTATATTTTATTTTTATTTTTTTCTAATCTCATTTTTCTTTTCAACTATTTCCTTCTCTATAATCCTTCATATTAGTTCGGCTTCTTCTATTTGCCTTTAAATTGTATTCTTCTCACTTTGAGCGCTTATTTAATTTTAAACACATACAATAAGTCCGGAAAGAAGTGATACAAGAAGATAGTTGGATTGTGTCTCTTGAATTAATATGCGTAATAAATCCATATATTTTTTAATTTGGACATTTTATTTTCAATATTATTTTTTTAAAATTATTATTAAATTTTGTAATATTTTATAAAATAAGTGTTACGTTTAAGAATAAAAGTATTATATATATATATATATATATATTTAAAATATTTTGTCCAATTTTAAACACTACAAAAAAAAGCCTTACCTACTGAATATTACCTACGGATAAAAATCCGTAGGTAAATTTTACATTATCTACTGGATATTACCCACGGATGAAAATCCGTAGGTAAATTGTACATTACCTACGGATATTACCCACGGATGAAAATCCGTAGGTAAATTGTACATTACCTATCGAATATTACCTACGTAATTCTATCCGTAGGTAATTATCCATTACCTACGGATATTATCCGTAGGTAATGTAATCCGTAGATAATTCCGTAGGTAATTACCTACGTAATTACTATCCGTAGGTAAAGTGTACATTACCTACGGAATTCTATCCGTGAGTAATTATCCATTACCTACGGATATTATCCGTAGGTAATGTCATCCGTGGGTAATTACCTACGAAATTACTATCCGTAGATAAATTATATTAAACTAAAAAAATTGTCACTAGCAAAAATCGAACCCAGTACCTTAAAGTTAAAAACTGATACTCCAACCACTAAACTATTAGGATATTCTAATAATAATTTACAACTAAATTATACTTATATTTATTCGTGTAAATATAAAATATATAAATGTTGAAAGTCCCACATCGCCTACCTCATGTCATTTGGTATGATTTAAATACATGTTAGGCTACTCCACATATAGCCAATTGGTTTTATGTTGGAACCTTAACATGGTATCGAGCCAAAGTCTAACATATTTCCAAGTTATTGTCATGGGCCAAAAGTTGCCCTTTAGTTGGGTCAAAAGTACCCTTTGCCTGGTCCCAGCAGGCTTTGTTGGAGGGAGTGTGTTGAAAATCCTACATCGCCTACCTCATGTCATTTGGTATGATTTAAATACATGTTAGGCTACTCCACATATTGTCAATTGGTTTTATGTTGGAATCTTAACAATAAATATAAAATATATAAATATATCAAAATATAAATATATTTTATATTTATATATTTTGTATTTATATATATTTTATATTTATATATATTTATATATATTTTATATTTATATATATATATATATTTTATATTTATATATTTACACTGGATAAATATAAATATAATTTATTTGTAAATTATTATCAAAATATCCTAATAGCTTAGTGGTTGGAGTATCAGCCTCCAACTCAAGTACTCGGATTTGAATTCTGCCAATGACAATTTTCTTAATCTAATAATAATTCAACTCTGAAGTAAAGTGACATTACCTACTGAATTTTACCATTAGATAATAAGCATTTTTTTGTAGTGAAATTCTTGTTCGTCATAGTTTTATTTTTAAAAATTTTTTTAAGGGAAAAAACGTATATAAATTACTTAACCTCTTCTCTAAAGAGTCATGTGTATAAAATGGATTATTCCAAAAATGAATATTAAAGGTTAAAAAGTGAATTCATTTGAATATAATAAGGAGTGTTTCACTAGGAGCATCATTATCATAGGTTACCTTGATGAGGGTGTATCAATTTTTTTTCTTGCATGTGATCTATTTGAATGAATAAGCTACTCTTGAGATAAATTTTCACATGAAACTGTTGTAGTATTCTTCTGAAATATTAATTTGACATATGTATATTTTTTATTATATTTTTATTTACTCGTTTTATAATATATTAATTTAATATATATTTAATATTACGATATCTTTTTACAGAAATGATTGAAATAGATATATAATGCTTTTCAAATCCTACTTTTTTTCCTTTTAATCTTTTGTATGCATGAATTTACGTGCTTTCCTAAGCAAAACATGTACAATATTTTCTTTTTCTTTTTCTTTTGTTTTGAAAAAGTCATATATATACATAATGTTTTCAGGAAAGAATATTGCAACACTATCAATATTGCAGCATGTCACTTCTTGCAACAAGCTATTGATGCATTTTACTCTTCCACTTTAATTTTCTGTGCTCCATCCTAATTCCATACACTTCTCTTAACTTTAAACGGTAATTGGATTTATGTATTGTTTATTACTTTTTATGTATTTATTAAGAAAAAAATTAATTAAAAATTTTAATCTGAGAAATAGAATAATGTAACTCTTTAAATATTTATTCACTTTTTTGTTAATTTTTAAATATATAACAATATAACTTTTTATATGTTAAAATTGAGGAGAATAATTTTATAAACAATCACTATGTATTGAGAGAAAGAAATAACTAATAACAGTAAAAGATAATTTAATTCTCTTTCCCAAGATTGGATCTACAAAAGTCCACTGCATTATGGTCCACAAAAATTCGAAATTACCTTTTTGCTTATGATGTAAGAAAGAACATAGGAGGCAAAGATATGAGAGAAACATTAATGAGAGCCAATTGGCAACTAATGGTTATAATTACTGGTTCATAATTCTGCACTACTGTTGTAAATTAAGGGGTATTGCAAAACAGAGCACGTGTTCTCACACGTTGCAGAAGACTGTTTCAGAGCACGTGTTCTCACACGTTGCAGAAGACTATTTCAGATAACGTTGCAGAAGACCGTTTCAGAGAACGTTACAGACTCACTACCAAGTCTTCCATAACTGTTACAGACTTTCTCTTATAAATAGAGACCATTTCACACTCTTCAGAACACACCTCTCTCATCTTCTCTTCTCTTCTCTAATCTTCTTTCTGTGTTCCTGGGTTAATTTACTCTTTTGAGAGTTTCTTGCTAGTTTCTGAGATCCTCGGATATTCCGAGAAGTTCCTGTTGTATCGTGGGGGACTTGCGCAATACACCGCGGACAAGTCCTTAAGGGCAGTGATTATACACGCCTCAGGAATAAAGTTTGTTCGTGTCTCTGTCAGCTTTTACAACAATCTTAAGGACTTATGACTGACAATACGAACATCAACAACTTCCTTCAACAATTTTAGAATATTGGATAGTGAAAGAAAGAGAATTATGAAGTATTCATGGATCAAGGTTAGTTTTCCGATTATGATTTATGTGTGTTATTATGTGAAAATCAATTCATGTATGTTATTATATGATTATGATTTATGTATGCTATTACGTGAGAATAACGAATCTAAACGTGAAGAGTAGTTTTATAAAATTAGTAACGTATACAAACTACAAATTAAAATACATGTGGTATCAGAGGCATACTTATTAGATTTATGATTTTTCTCTTATGATAATTTTTAAATTATGTTTTTCCAAAAATTGAATAAAGGAATAAATGATAATCTATGTTTTAAGCTACAATCAATTTCAAATTGAAATTAATTTCATAGCCCCTGTGTAAATGACACTGTAATTCTTATTGAAATGTGAATGACCCTGTAATTGATTTTAATTGAAAAAGCAAATTATGTGATTGGTGAATCATATATGAAATTGATTACTGCATGTTATAATTATGATGAAAGAAAGGTTAACTTTTAGATCAAATGCTATCAGCATACATCATGCAACTTGTCTATAGAGCACACGTGTCAAACACATGTTCCTTTTTCGGATTTATTACACCAATACAACAGAGAAAATGAAAAATGCATTATGCATAATTATTTTATGTTATGGGAGAAATTATGCAAAATTATTATATGTTATGAGAGATTTTGTTTGTGAATAATTTGCAATTACATGTATACAATGTATGACTTAGATCTACATATTATTTTGTACAATATTATTTTGTCCGCATATTATTTTGTACATACTTATACGTATAAGTAGAATATTATTTTGTCCCCATATTATTTTGTACATACTTATAAGAAAGGGTTGAGACTGTATGAAATCAGTGGATCTAACCCCACTTTACGTTCAAGAAAGAAAATTACTTTTTGTGGAAAGCTATGTCATCATGCACCTCAGTGTAGATGTAGAATGAGAAACGACAATCCTCCTAAGGAAAATCGGAGGGAGAAGATACAATTATTGCGGTTGTTTCTCAAATAAATCTTGTAAAAAATGTGAGCAAATGGGTGGTAGACTCTGATGCTACCAGACACATCTGTGCAAACAGAAGTGTTTTTACCTCCTACACTAGTGTGGGGATGGAGAAGAACATGTTTATCTCGGTGATTCAAGGACAACTCGTGTCTTAGGCACATCTGGGAAGATATGAGAGAAACATTAATGAGAGCCAATTGGCAACTAATGGTTATAATTACTGGTTCATAATTCTGCACTACTTCTTATATCTGCTCCATATAAGCTGTTTGTAGGTTGAGGTCCATATGTTACACAAGAGTTACTGGTAAAACCTTTGAACGCTCAAGGGGGAAGGTTCTGCTTTACTGACATTTCAAGAGTTCAAGGTACCTGACCTTCTTCTCTTTGGTTTATGTTATGATTTATCTTCTCTAATCATTTATAAAATTCTAAGATGCTATTTTCCACAAGGAGAAGAGCATCCATCACTCTTCAAATGTGCTGCCAAATTGATATATATAGTTTGGTAATTTTGTATACAGAAAAAAGAAGTCCCTGGAAGCAGTGCAGAAGTCCAGCAACAGAACTCGAAATTATTGGAGAAGAAAAGCATGAGGAATTTTCTTATGAATGGAATTTGCAAGGTTTTAGGAGTGAAGAGAAGTAGGAACAATGACGTGGAAAATAATTCTTCCAAAGTGATTGAAGAAAACGAAATGCAAACTACAGATCAACCCACTGTTGAAGAAGTTGAAGCACATGGTAAGCTTTTATCAAAGAAAACATACAAATCAATAAAAAATAATAATTCTGAGTCAGCATGGGAAGAGATAAAGAAAGAAGATGAAATTTTTGAGCAGAAGAGCCCTAAGGGAAACACGGTGCTGCACATAGCAGCTCTCTATAAAAATGATAACCTTGTGAGAAGGGTAGTTATGATTCGTCCAGACCTTTTGGATGAAAGGAACGATGATGGTGATACACCACTGCATCTTGCTGCAAGAGCTGGCCATGTCTCTACTCTTGCTATATTGTTTCCTGCACTTCTCCTTAAATTTAGATGTCACTCATCTTCTAAACTGGCTTTGGATGAAATCCTAGTAAGAAATCTGCAAGGAAATACTTTCTTTCATGAGGCCTTACTAAATGGTCACAAAGATGTAATGAACATATTGGCTTCTCCACAAGAACGAGAGATTGAAGGTGGCTTCATGGAATTGGTTGAGGAAACTGTGTATGGTTGGACAGAAGGGCAACACAAATCAGTTTTGTGCACGGTAATTGAGAAAGGGTTCAAGGACATTCTTGATCGAGCCTTGAACAAAATTATTCCGAACAGAGGTACGATGGTGCTACCTACCTTTACATTTTTTTCATTTTTGCTTACTCTGTTTTCATTAATTTCACAATCATTTGGTTGGGGAATGATGAACGTATATTGTGCTGCAAATATTTTATGGTGGTGAAAAACAATATGCTAGATTTGTATGATCATTGAAGATATAATAACAGTAAAGTAATTTTATGCCACAAAACCCAGCAAGTTTAGAAAAGCAGTTGTTTAAGATTTTTAGTAAATAAATCAAAATTTAGCATCCCAGAGTCAAATTAAAATAGAATAAATCCGAATTTGGCACTTTCAAAGACCGGATTCTATCTTAATTTTTCCATTTTATCATGAGAAAATGTTTTGAATATTAATTTTAAAAACATATTTAAAATAAGTAATTGAAAATATTGGTTTAAAAACTAATCATTTTTATTATTACATTAAATTCAAAATTTATTATTTTTATTATTAATTATTTCTAATTTAAATTTATGTTAATATAAGATTAATAAATTTAAATATTAATTTTAACAATTTTTTTCATAAAATCTTTATTTTTTTTCTAATTTTAAAATACTATTTAAAACGTTATTTACATGTATTACTAACAACCAAATGCTACTGATAAATTATGAAATGAATAAGTACAAAAAAAATATATTAAATTCTACATTAATTTTTTTTTAATTTAATGTGATAATTAATATTATTCTATTTCTATAAATTCAATTTTTTTAGATGGATCTGGGCTTTATTCATCTATGATCAACCCCATATCTAATTATAGTTATTCATAGAAAATATTAATAATAATTGTAAAAGTTATGTAAAGATTATATTAAAATTAATCAAATATTCTAATATATAAGAAATGAAATAGAATGGTTAAGGAGATATTAGGGAAATATATGAATTGTTATTTCAATGTTATTTTTTTTTATAAAAGATTTTATTTTAAATTTTTTTTAGATGGATCTGGGCTTCATTTATCTGTGATCAACCCCAACTTCTAGAACTACCAACCTCAAGACAAATCGATACAATCACGTAAGAATAACAATGTTCAACAAATTCTCATACATGTTATTACAATGGATAAGTTAACATTTTCTATTAATAATAAAATCAAATATTAATAATATATCAAAATTATTTAATTTAATAAAACTTAACGGACTAAATTTGTAATTAAAAATTTATAGAGATAACATTTATCTTAGATGATAATTTAGCAATTATGTTGCTTGGATTATTCAGTTAGGTTAGTTAGTCTAATTAATTTAACTAACTACTAATACTGTGTATCTATAGTATTTCATATAAGTTCAATTGTATAATTCAATTTTTACATTAAATACTATTTACATTTATTGTACCTCACTTTCCATAGACTTATCTCTCTTGATAATTGTTTAGACCCCTTTTTTCGTTAATAATAATATCAAGAGCTTCAAGATTTAGAAAGAAAAATAAAGAAGAAGATTAAATGGTAATGGTAAAAACTAGATTACATGACAATATGTCAGTTTTTGATAACAAGAATTTGAATAGTTACGATAAATAGTGTGTGAAGATGAAGACTATATTTGGGTTCCAAGAAGTCTTGGATATAACCTTTAATGGATATGATGTGTTACCAGAGAATCCCACCGAAGCATAACGTGCTACGTTTTATGGTGCAAAAAAATGTTATTGTAAAACTTTGTTTTACATTCATTAGTGTGTCGATTAAAAGAATTTTAAGAAGATTTCGTTGGCAAACATGGAAAAAGAAACTTGAGATATACTAGTGCAAAACTATGTAGAAGTAGAGAGGTTAAAGATGGTACAACTTCAAACCTTACGTTGTCAGTATGAGTGATTACAAATGGGAAAATAAGAAATCATCCAAAAATACTTTACAAAATTATTGTCAATTACAAACTTGATGAAATCATGTGGTGAAAGCTTTAAGGAATGACCGGTGGTAGAGAATGTTAGGTATATCCAAGGAGGCAAACAACAGGGAGATTCTCACAAATGGGTCATGAGTCAACCATATAAAAGAATATGACACCACTCTCAACCCAAAACCTTAAGGTAATAGGTTATGAGTCTTTCTCACTTATAAGTTACTCAACTTTTCCAATTTTACCTAATGTGGGACTTCAAGTTCACACTTGAATTCTCAACATCTCCCCCTCAAGTGTGATTCCCTTTCATATTGGTATACCTCCCTCTCGAGCAGAAGCATATTTTAGCCATGAGTATCTAGTGATAACCTCACTTATACCGCCATTCAACTTAACGAGACTCGTTTACCTGAAACCCTTGTTAGGAAGACTTTTGACACAAGGACCTTTCACCATCTATAATCATACTCAACTGAGTCGGTCACCGGATAAATCATCGACCCCCTCAAGTGTGATCCCTTTCACATTGGTATACCTCCCCCCTTGAGCGGAAGCATTTTTTAGCCATGAGTATCTAGTGATGACCTCACTTGTACCGTCGTTCAACTTAACGAGACTCGCTTTCCTGAAACCCTTGTTAGGAAGACTTTCGACACAAGGACCTTTCATCATCTATAATCATACTCAACTGAGCCGGTCACCGGATAAATCATCGGCTCTGATACCACTGTTAGGTATTTTCGAGGGGACAAACAACATAAAGATTCTCACAAATGGGTCATGAGCCAACCATATAAGAGAATATGATACCACTCTCAACCCAAAACCTTAAGGCAATAGGTTATGGGTCTTTCTCACTTATAAGTTACTCAACTTTCTCATTTCTACCTAATGTGGGACTTCAAACTCACACTTGAATTCTCAACAGAGAAGGTGTTGAGGACCCTCAATCCGAGAATTGATATGATTTCAATTGTTACCGAGGAGGCAAAGGATCTCAATTTGTTGAAGTTGGATGAATTACAAGAGTCATTAAAGGCTCACGAAGAGAGGTCGAGGAAGAGGAAGAGGTAGAAATAATGGTGGACGAGGTTCCGAAAGACAACATGAGAGTTTTTAACAATCAAAAGTTGGCAAAGATAGAAACTCAAAGTGGAGAGGTGGTTGATCTGACTCTGGTGTTGGTAAGAAGAATATTCAGTGTTACAGCTGTTACAAGTAACCATTATGCTGCCAACTCTTGAGTAAAGAAGAAGAAGCAAATGTAACACAAAAAGAAGACTCAGAGGATGAAGTACTATTGATGATGACCAAGACAAAACTAGTGGAGACTTTTGGTGAATTCTTGTACGTAGATACTGGTTGTTCGAATCATATGTCTTTTGAAAGGAGTTGGTTCGTCAATACTGATGAAAGTATTAAATCGAAGGTAAATTTACAGATAATTGGATAGTAAGTTGTGGAAGAAAAAGTAGAATTTCGATAAAAAGAAGAGATAACAAATCTGCAATCATTTTGAATGTGCTTTATGTTCTAGCCATAAAACATAATCTGTTGGGTATTAGACAACTATTTTAGAAAGAGTATTTGATCGATTAGAGATTGAGGGAACAAATATTGAGAATCTTCAATAAGAATAAGACACCAATTTTGAAGGCATCTTTGAGTAAGAATAAAGTTTTTCATTCGATATTTCAGTATCGAATAACTTGTGTTTTGCAGCAATAGTCTCGAATGACAATTGGCTGTGGCATTTGAGGTAGTGTCATCTTGGCTTTGATAGTTTGAGTCAACTTGTAAAGAAGGAGATGGTGGTTGAATTTCCTCGAGTCCATAAATGTAAGGATATATGTGAAGGTTGCATGATAGGGAAACAAGTCTAAAATCTCTTTAAATTTCACATAAAGACCAAAAGAAAAGATGTGTTGGAAGTTATCTACACCAATATGTGTGGACCTTTTAATGTTACTTCACTAGGTAGAAACAGGTACTTTGTGACGTTCATCGATGACTAGATTAAGAAGATGTGAGTATACTTACTTGAGAAGAAGTCAGAGGTGTTTAAATGCTTTGTAGATTTTAAATCCATGGTCGCGAAACAGTGTGGTCGAGTTATCAAAGTGTTGAGATCAGACGATGGTGAAGAGTACAACAATGGTAAGTTTGCATTACTTAGCAAGGAGAGCAGTATCCTGCATGACATTGTACCTCATACACATCACAACACAATGGTGTAGCTGAAAGAAGAAATCAAACAATTTTGAACATGGTTAGACGTATGTTGAAGACCAAAGGTATGCTACATTTGTTTTGGGGTGAAGGAGAAAACTCTAGAAGAAGTATGGCCTGGGAGAAAGCTAAATATAAAACATTGGAAAGTATTTGGTTTGATTGCTTGTAGACATGTTCTAGATGAGAGGAAGAAGAAGCTCAATGATAGAAGCTAGAAGTTGATTTAAGTAAAATATCATTCAACTTGTGCTTATAAGTTGTATGATCCTATTAAAAAAAAATCGTCAGTAGATATGCTGTTGTAGATGAGAAGGATTGCTAGAAATGGTGTTCGATGCTAGAAAATTAAAGTGTTAGCTTTGATGGATCAGGTGATGCAGAAATCGAAGGAAAAAATCGATCAATTTCTACAATCAAAGGAGATGAAAACCAATCAATTTTTGAAAATGAAGGAGAAGGAAGAATTCGTTCAATACCAAAAATCAAAGGGAGTAGAAATCAATCAATACTAGAAATCGAATGAGGGATTCAATCGAGACTTGAAATCAAAGGATAAAATCGATCTAGACTTGCAATCGAAGGAGAAAATTGATCGAGACTTGATATTAATGACAAAAATCGATCGATTTCAAAAATCAAAGAAAATTGAAATCGATTGATTTTTGAAATTGAAGGAAGGAGAAATCAAACAATTAGATCGATTAAAACACCATATAGACTCGATGATTATGTGATGATACTATTACAACAATTGAACAGATGATTGGAGAAACGAATGATGACAATGATCTTGTGTATTTATCCTTGTATAGTAACATCGAGGCTAAACTCGTTTGCTTTGAAGAAGCTATAAAGGATCTCAAATGGATCGGAGCATGAAAGAGGAGTTGTTGGTAATAAAAAAGAATAAAACATGAGAATGGACTTATCTCCTGGAAAATCAAAGGCCAAAAGGAGTAAAATGGATTTACAAGACGAAGTTGAAATCGGACGAAACAGTTGCAAGGTATAAAACTAGACTTGTGGTGAAAGATTTTCTACAAAGAGAAGGATTATACTACAAAGAAGTATATGATCACGTTGCCAAAATGGAAACAATAAGAACAATGGTAGATCTTGCTAGTTATAAAGGGTGGTAGATGCATCAAATAAATGTAAAATCTGCATTTTTAATGGTGAATTGGAGGAAGAAGTTTATTTTGCACAACCACTAGGGTTTGTGATCACTGGAGAAGAACAAAAGATTTTCAGATTGAAAAAGGTATTGTATGATCTGAAACATGTCCTACGAGCTTAGAACACTAAAATCAATTATTGTCTTCGATAACAAGGTTTTTCGAAGTATGAGGTCAAGTATAAGATTTACTTGAAGATAGAAGGTGATGATGTATTAATTATATGTCTATATGTTGATGATCGTTTATGACTGGTAGTAGGATTACTTTGATCGAGGACTTTAAAAGGAGAACGAAAGATTAGTTTGAGATAATCGATCAGTTTGAAGCTTGGCAAGAATAGATGAGAAGCTTGTAAATGCTGTTGTGTACAAACATATGGTTGACTGCCTAAGGTACTTGTGTTGTAGTAGGTCAGATATTTGTTTGGTGTTGGATTGCTGAATAGATTTATGGAGAAATCAAAATGTTCTTATCTTATAACAACTATGAAAGTTTTGAGGTATATTAAAGGAACGATCAATTTTGGTATCCTATTACCAAATGCTATACATCATAATGGAGAAGAATTGATCGAATATTCCAATTCTGATTGAGTTGGTGATAAAGTTGGGTTCAAAAGCATATTAAGCTACATAGTCCTATTGGAAAAATCACCGATTACATGTTGCTCAAAATTACATTTTGTTGTGGCACTCTCCTTTTGCAAAGCTGAATATCACTAAAAAAAAAAAGCTTATTATCTACAAAATATTACCTATGGATAAAAATCTCCGTAGGTAAATTGTACATTACCTACGGAATTACTATCCGTAGGTAAATTATATCTAATTGTATGTAAGTTATCCTTTACCTACGGATAATATCCGTAGGTAATATTTTCTGTGGGTAATTCCATAGGTAAATTATATTAAATTAAAAGAATTGTCACTAGCAAAGCAAGAATTGAACCCAATACCTTAAAGTTGAAAATCGATACTCCAACCCCTAAGCTATTAGGATATTCTAATAATAACTTATAAATAAATTATATTTATATTTACACGGATAAATATAAATATAATTTATTTGTAAGTTATTATCAAAATATCCTAATAGCTTAATGGTTGGAGTATCGCCTTCCAACTTCGAGGTACCGAGTTCGAATTCTACCAATGACAAGTTTCAAAAATATAATAAATAATAAAAATATAATATAAAGGGGAGTGGGGGTCCTAGGTAATAATAAAAAATAAGGGAGGGGGTTGTAGTAAATAAAAATATTTTGTTCAAGCGAGTGCATTACGGATTTTTGTCATTACAATTTTACCCGTAGATAATAAGCTTTCTTTTTGTAGTATGGTTGTTGCTTACATAGTTTATCAAGCACTATGATCGAGAGTTTGATGAATCAAGTTATTGGAAGACCAAAAAAGACAATGATAGTAAAGATCGATAATAAGTTAACTATCAATTTAGCTAAAAATTCAATTCATCACGGGAGAAGTAAACGTATCGGATTGAGATTTCATTTTATTAGAGATTAAGGAAGAATAAGTTGAAGCTTGAACATTGTGGTACGAAGGATGAATATAATATGATGTATATTTTAGAATTTTTATCTATTTATAATTTAATGAGTAAGATGACGGTGCATGATGATGATTTTGGTTGCCAAAAATTCTTTTAGATTGAGTGAAGCATCCTGGTTCAAGATAATGAGACAAGATGATACAAATATTAATGAGAAATAAGAGTGAATATAATTCATGGTGTCTCATTAAAACCTTATTGGGCAAAACCTTCTTTTGGGATAAAATACCATAGTGGTTGAAAAAAGGAACATATGAATACAATGATTAACTAAAGTAATGTCCTTGTTATAACTTACTTGAACTCTATCCATAAACTTTGTTTGATAGCGTTTAGACAATCCAAAATGACCTCTCCCAAATGAAAAAAACTTATATTTTGATGGGTCTTAATTTATGTTTCTTCTTACTCGACATATAGGGTCTCATCGATCTTGGGAAGGTTGTAAGCTCAATCTTAGAGTTATTTTCTTGTGTGTTTGTGTTTTTTTGCATGCTTTTTCTCATATTTTGTCTTGTTTCTTAATTCCTCTCAGAGGTGGGCGACAATAATCCTCAGGTTTCATTTGGAGTTAGCCTTTTACGTTTCTCTCTATCTAAGCTCTTGTTTGGGCCATCACTTTAATTCTTTCAGCTACAAAAACTTATTAGCTCTTCATGTTAACTTCGTTGATAATGTATAAGTTAATATCTATCCATAATGAGGTTTTTGGATGTTGTTAGCAAGGTTCTTCTATGTTAGTATAATTACTCTTATACTCGAGAGGTGATATGAACAAAGGTGTTATTATATATTTGGAACTTTCGATTACTATTGACTTCTTGTTACGTGGATAGTTGTAGAAGAGGGATCATTAGGAGTTGATTAATGGTTCTATCTTTTCACCTAGATGGTTCCTCTGAATATGGTCATTAGTATGATTCTCTTTATATTTTGGTTTTGATTTTGGTGGTTATGGCCTCTCATTGATTATTATATTTCTCATTAAAATCCTATAACTTATTCATGTTCGATATCTTTACAAAGGTCCAATGACCTTTATAAGACTACAATATGTCCTTCAAATTTGAGATGTACTCCTCTTTCCAATTGGAGATGCGCTGAATAGGAATATCTCAAATTAATTGAGATATAAGTGAGATAATAAATATAATTAATAAATTCTGATATTTTCACCATTTATAATGTTTTAAAGAACGTACAAAATCTTAACTATATGTCCAATACAATTATTTACGGATTTTGTGAAGATCTCCTACAAAATTATGTATGTACGACCAAGATGTTTTTAACCAATTACCATATACATTAGCCTGCCAGACTCAAAGAGAGTTAACTGTTAAAAAAATTATTATTAAACGATGTTCAAAATATATTTTTCATATATAAAATGATTAATTATTAATTATGCTGATGACTTTGTTAAAAACATGATTTTTTTTAAGTGTTAGGTAAATTTTACACCTAGTGATATAAATATATATTTTTTTATAAAATTTCAATAACCGATTCAATACTTAACTTTAAAAAAAATTAAGCAGTTTTGATACAATATCAACATGTTATTTAATTGTTCATAGAAAATATTATATATATATATATATATATATATATATATATATATATATATATATATATATATATATATATATATATATATATATGTAAGTTAGTTATTTATATAAAATACTGATAATAATGTTCAGCAAATTTTAATATAGGTTAATATTTTCTATTAATAATACAATTCAACGTTGAAAATGCGAGATTCATTAGATTTGGATATGAAACTGCAAGAACGTAGAGAACGTGGGTTGTCAGAAAATAAACAATATCAGGAATTACTCCTCGTTGATGAGTTACGAAGACAATCACCACTCGTTGCGGCAATTTTAAAACAGGATGAAGGTAATTCCTGTTGCCTCATTATAAATTTGCCCTTATAATTGTCTGATTAATTTATTTATAATTGGATAGTAACACTATGCCTACTTTTTGTGTATTTTGACGGAATAATCAAATTTTCAAGAATTTTTGTTTGACCAAAAATAATCATAAATAATTAAAGTATTTGATCTTTCTTGACGAGATTATGCTCGTAATTGGTTCATCGTAACATATATGGCAGACATTCTAAAGGAAATAGTAAAGGTAAAAAGATGGATTCATTTGAAGGATAATAAAGGAAGGAATGCTCTTCACTACGCAGCAGCTATAGGTTACCTCCATGGTGTGGAGTGCTTGCTTCAAAATTGTGATTCCTGCGATATGGAAAAAGACAACGATGGCCTTTTTCCTCTTCATCTGGCTTCTGCAGGTGGACATGTTAAAGTGATAAAGAAATTGCTAGAGAAGTGTTTAGATCCCAGAGAAATAGTTGATAAATATGGTCGAAATATTGTTCACATTGCAGCTCAAATGGGACAGTATAATGTGATAGACTACATCTTGAAAGATGCAAATGGTGTTTTAGATCTGATAAACGACAAGGATAAGGATGGAAACACTCCCTTACATTTGGCTGCCTCGCACTGCCATCCAAAAATTGTGCAAGCCTTGACATGGGACAAAAGAGTGGCTCTGGATTTGCTTAACAAAATAAATCAATCAGCTCTTGATGCTTTTGAGCAATTTCAACAAGTAAATCCGTCCTTCCCAGAGGCATGTATATATAGAGTAATGTGTTTATTCAAGAATTTTATTTATTTTTTTATTGTTATCTTATTGAATTTGTTACACAAACTTGTCTTTGCAGCGGCTAACATGAATCAGAAGCCACCAAGATGGATCTTTATAAAGACAGCATCAATACCCTAATTGTGGTTTCCACCCTTATTTTTTCAGTAGCATTTGCCGCAGGTTTTACTTTGCCTGGTGGATCTAATGGTTCTACTCCAGGCCAAGGCATGGCTGTTATGCTGCATCACGCATGGTTTAAACCATTTATTTTCTGCATCACAACATCTATGTACGGTGGGATTAGTGTTACAATTATACTCATTTGGGCTCAATTAGGAGATTTGACTTTGGCTGTTTTTGCCCTTAAAGTGGCAAGGCCGCTTTTAGGAGTCTCTATTGCAACCCTATCAGTGGCATTCATGGCTGGTGTCCACCTTGTTATAAGTGATCTAAGTTGGCTGGCCACTACTATTCTGATTTTGTGTGTGATCCTCATTTACCTGATTATGTTATTTTACACTCTTCTCTGGTTCCCCTCACTCTCAACGAACCTAATAATGCGACACCTTTCCTTCTATCCATTTCAGTTTCTGACGTGGTTATTTGAAAAAGATTAAGCTGAAGGTAGGTGATCTCGGATGCACTCTATACTGAAGTATCTGCGCTTTGTTTTATTTTCTTCTTTATTCTCTTTGAGATGGAGACTTAACTTTGTTTTCATGTGCATCTTAAATGGAGTGGTGTCTCTTCTATAATACGCTCCTCATCATTTTCATGTGCAAAATCATTTGGCTTTATGAGATTTATGATATTTTTAGAGTCAAGTATGCCTTACTAGTAATGGCTGCAAGAAATTTGTATGTACATATCATTCTAATAAAAAAATAGTATCAAAATTTAGTAAATATTAAGTTTTGTGTGGTATCTGGTATTTGGAGTTGTGTGTATGCATTTATTTGTGAGAATCGGTGAGAATATATATCCTTATTTAAGGATTGCATTTTTCTTATGTTTCTACCGTGTGACTGCTACCATCGTTATAAAAAATATCAGATTTTAATTAAGGTGAAATATAAGTAATGTATATTCTTCGTATATAAATTTCCATTACATATAGGTATTTGTGAACTGAACTGAAGTATAGTCGTTGAAGAAGATAATACTTTTACCTTTTCATACTACTTCAAGCTTTTTTGTATTTTTGATATTAATATAATTCTTAAATAACTTATTTTTTATAAGATTGTGAAAAATAATTTTAAAAAAAGAAAAAAAAATGAGAATTGAATTACTCTTTATTTTATTATTTATCTTTCTTATTTTTCTTTTTCTTACATTCTATATTATATTAAGAGGTAATATAAAGACTCAAGAATAATAATCTTAGAATACTTTAATGTATCACTAGTAAAAAAATAGTATTTTATGACTGTTTATTATGACGATTCTAATTCATTTGTCATAATAAATTGGACAGTGATAATTTTATAATTAAAACTCATTTTTATTAATTTTTATCACTACAAGAAAAATAATTTTAGCGACAAAAAATTTCGGTCACAAATATCAAAAAATCGGTGGTTAATCAGCTTAGCAACCGAAAAGGTGGTCGCTAATTAATTTGGTCATTTATTTCTTAGATACCAAAATAGCAATATATTAAATCTGTGGCAAAGTTAAAAAAACAACGAACCGATATAAATCGATGACAAAGTTAATTATTTAACCACTAAACTACTATGATTTTTCAATAATAACTTACAAATAATTATATTCATATACAAATAAATGTATATATCCATATAAATATATAAATATAAAATCTATAAATACAAATATATTTATATATTTAAAATTTAATTTATAAGATGGAAAAAAAATTTGATAACTTGAAGTAGAGATGAAAGAAAAGAAAAAGACAAGAACCTTAATATTTTAATAAAGAATTTATAATATAAATATTAAAATATTAAAGATAATATTATATTTTTCCAAAGATAATAAATGTTTTTAATTCATTATTTATAAATTTAATTAATTAAAAATATTAATATTATTCATTCATCATTTAAGAAAAAAATTTAAAATATAAATATTAAATATTAAAAATAATATTATATATTTTTTTAAAATTTAGAAAAAGGTTTAAAGATATCCACATTTAAAAAAAATACTAAAAAATACCAAAAAATTATACTTTAAATTGATGAAATATATTTTAAGAAAAGTTATATTTATTAAAGTATTAAAAATATTTTGTAATACATAAGTTTAAAAAAATTATCATTAAAATTTTTAAAAATTATTAGTTTTGCAATTTATACACAATGAAAATAAATTACAAATATTATAATATATTGGTATATTAGTATAATATAGTATATTTGTATTCTAATTTTTAATTAAACTAAAATTACACTAATAATGTATAATAATATATAAGGGGATAATAAATTTAATTCAATTACTTATGTATATATCCTTTTTTAATTTTTTTTTCTTTTTCAACTTCTCACATTCTACATTTTTTTTAACTTTATCATTTCTACTACATTATCATTCTCATCTCCTCCCATATTCTATTTTATCTTTACAATAATTAGTCTTCTTTTATAGGATACTTTATTTTCTATTTTTATTATTTATTTTCTTATAATTTAAAATAATTAATATTATTGTAACATTTATTTTTATGATTTTTACTATAATAAATCAAATAAAATGATTTGATAATATCAATTAATTAAAATTATCACATCAAAAGCTTAGATAACTACATTAAAATTATCAATTTTAAAAATATAAAATATATTTAAAAAAAATACTAAAATTATAGATTGGAAAGAAAATAGAATAAACAAATACTCTTTACTTTATATTATATTTAAGTATGTGCATAAATATTGACCTTCTTAACTATAAAAAAACAGTAGAAAAATATAAAGATAGAATTTGAAGAAGTGAATTTTGAAGATAAAGACTATTTTTATATAAATTTATTTTAGTATATCAATTAACAATAATAATACATAAACTTTAAAAACTAAACTAAAAAAAGTAAGTTTAAATTTATAAAAAAATACATTACTAAAAGTATCATATTATATTAAGATTTTCATTATTTTCGTTTATTATAAATTTAAATGTGTTTCATAAATAAAATTATAAATTTAAATGTATTTCCACTTTTAATCCATCATAAATAAAAATAAATAGTCTCTTATAAATGTTGTTCTATTTTAATCCATCATTAAATTTGTTTTATATTATTTGAAACAAGTTTTTTTATATTTTTTTACGTATTTTTTAACTTCAAATTTATTTTTTATTTTTATTATTTATTTTCTTATAATTTAAAGTAATTAATATTATTTTAACATTTACTTTGACGATTTTTACTATAACAAATCAAATAAAATCATTTGAAAATATCAATTAATTAGAATCATCATATCAAAGATTTAGATGACTAGATTAAAATTATTAATTTTAAAAAATATAAAATATATTTTAAAATAAAAATAATAAAATTATAGGTTAAGAAAAAAAACTAGAGTGAACAAATATTCTTCATTTATAATATATTTAAGTGTGTACTAATCTTGACATTCATAACTATAAAAAAAATAGTTAAGAAATGTGAAGATAGAAATTAGAGAAGTGAATTTTGTAAATAATTTTTTTTATAAATTCAAGCACTCATATCGAAAAAAAAACATAAAAAAAGAAAAAATGAATTTGATGACTTATCGTATTATTAAAAATTTGGATGAGATAATTATGTATAATAATTTTTTAGTATATTATGTTTTTAAATTTGCTAATAGAGAAAAAAATTTAGAATTCAAAATGTTAAATATTTTTAAATATTAAAATTGACTTTATAAAAACTTAGGAAAAAAACAATTGATCCAAAAATATAATAATGATAAAAATATTATAAAAAAGAGTTCAAAAATGTATTATAATATTTTCAGTTTTAGTTTAATTATATTTTTAATTCTCAAAGTAGAAAAATATATTGTAATTATTTTAATTTAATAAAATATAATTTAAATTTTTAATACTAAAATTAAGAGATTAAATAATAATAAATTTAATTCTTTAAATTTAGTATTTAGAAACTAAAATTATAGTTTCTCTGCTTTAAAAAATTAAAATAAATATTTAAAAATAAAAATAAAACTAGTATTATCTTACATTTATTAAAAGTATAATTAAATCTCCATTTTCTTATTCAATTTTAGAAATATTTTAATAAAAATCTAATATATAAAAAAGTTGAAATTTTAGAAAGGCACAACATTAACTTACATTGATCTGTTTCTTTGAAAAAACTGATAAGAAAAACTGGGTTTTGAAAAAAAAATTAATAATTTTGAAGTTATTTCAGTGATAAAGTTTCCAAATGTGATCTATGCATTTATTTAGTAAAATTGGAGGTGTGTTGAATATAAATTTAAATATATTTTTAATTTATTTAAACATGGTTTATTTTTAGTATTTATAAAATGGATTAATTTTAAATTTTCAACTTTTCTAGCAGTCTATTTTTAATCTTTGTTATTAATTTTGTTAAAAATGAAAAATATTAATTAGTATACTTAAAGTAAAAAAATATTTCAACTAAAGATAAATATATTTTTATAAATAATCTAATTAAATAATATATTTATTATCTAATGTATATTAATTATATTTTGATATAAATTTTTTTGGTATATCAATTATATGAAAACAACCATGGTTAAACAATTAATAATAATAAAGTAATAAATTTTAAAACTAGATTAAAAATAAAGTATTATAAAATAAAATTGTAATAATTTGATTGAAATTGTAATTTTTTTAATTAATTAAGTTAATGAGGAATTAAAATGTGTTAATTTGATGTATTCAATTTTTTTAATATAAATTTTTAAAATATAATTTAATTTCAATTGAAATTTTCAAGTGAAAAATATATTAAAGAATATTTGTTATTAAACTTTTCTTAAACAATGTATTGAATATCACTCCAGTATTAATTTATTACAATTTAAATTTTTAATAAATTTGATTTATTTTTAATAATATTTTTATTTTAGTAATTTAAAATTAAAGTTAACCTTTATTGTATTAAAATTGAGACCAAAATTTATTTTTAAAGTATATTTTAAAAAATAAATTACTTTTAAAAAATAAATTATAAAAAATATACTAAAGCAATTAAAGTATATTTATAAAATAATATATTTAAATATAATAAAAAAATAATGTTCATTAGCGACCGATTTCAATTCGATCGCTATTTGCTCATTAGCTACCGATTTCAATTTAGTCACTATTTTAATTTGTAATTCGGTTGTTAAATCGATCGCTAAATGTGTTTTTATTTTAGTATGCAATAGTCATCGATTTAGCGACCGAAAATTTGTGACGCAAACTATTGGTCGCTATTTCAGTCGCTAAATAAAAAAGTGAAATCAAATCATATCTCGGTGGCAAAATCGGTCGCTAATTACGACCGAATAAAATTGGTCGCTAAATCGGTCACTAATTGGGACCGAAAAAATTTGGTCACTAATTTCGGTTTCTAAAAGTGTTTTTTCTTGTAATGTACGTTGGTTCAAAATTGAACTGTCATAGTAAATAGATTATATGTCGATTCAATTTTGAAACGTCATAATAAATGTTTTATAAATTATAAATTTAGATATTTTTTATGTC